AGGACAAGAAAACAGCTCGGCTAAGTGCACGTTTATTATTTTTAAACCGTGTGAAAAGTAATATGCTTTAAGGAGCCAGCAGATGTATTGGTAGAGCTATAGAGGGCCCACACATAAAGTTTGAAGTGAGTTAAGTTTCATCAGGGGATGGCGAGAAATGGATTATTTTCCTTGAGAATGGACTTAAGTTTTAAAGTTCACTGCCGGGTGGCCCATTCCTATTATCCAAGTTAACATAAGAATAGAGGACAGGAAGGAGGCAGGGCTAGAAAGAGAGACACAGAATAAGAGTCAAAGAGACGGAGTTTGTGGGGTTTCCTGGTTTAAATTAACTTCTGCATAGCAGGAGCTGTTGTTATCCACTTAGAATGTCACACTTTCACTTTTACTTCTCACTTTAACTAATAAAGTCCAAGGTTTTCAGGTAATGGCATATCAGGGATGTCAGAGCAGTCTTGGCACTCCTCAGGGTCTGAGCCCAACCAGCTTTTGTGGGCCACACGACAAGCACACTTTCCCAGCTTAGACACCTGGCTAGGGAACAAGGAACCCGGTCACAGAAGCGGCGCGCTCCGGCTAATCACGTTACACTGTTTTTGCTTCACATTACACTTAGTTTACCCCTGAAACAGAGTCTAAGGAACCATGACAACTCTTCAGTCTGAGAAGAGGCATGCCGTTATGAATAAATGTTTGTATACATTTTTTGTGGATCTTGGAGTGTGCACATGGTGAATGGACTGCGCTTAAAGACATCTGGATGCGATGAAATAGAATTTGTTTAAACAAAATGAAGCCCATCTCTCTCCACCTGGAAAGCCACCCAGAGCGCACGCTGCTCATCACTACATACTTGTGCAGTGATTTTAATAGGACTGTATTGACAGATAATTCATTACAGCAGTATGAAGGCTTTTGAAAATGCATGACGCCTTTCACAGCTTTCGCTGAAAGAGTCAACATGAGTACGGTGACTTTATACATGCCGAAATTGAGGGGGGAAATGGTGGTGTACTTATTCCACTGGGCTTTAACAAATTCAAAACAGGATATGCTGTAATTATGAATGTTATTATTATTATTATTATTATTATTATTAAAAAGCTAAATTATTTTTATTCACAATTACAGTATATCCTGTTGTAGTGTTTATGTATCTATTTACTTTTTTACATCTTCTTCTTCTTGAAGAAGAGCACATAAACTACATATTTGTATGCCTTTCCTCAAATATTAAATAAATTAATAATACAAATTGTTAATGATAATCTTCCTCATCATCATTATTATTATTATTATTATTGAACATGAGTACATAAGCTACATAGTTTGACGCATTTCTTAAAGTATTAAATAAATTAATAAAATAAATTAATAAAAATTATCTTCCTCATTATTACTACCACTACCACTATTATTATTATTATTATTATTATTATTATTATTAATTACAGCATATCCTGTTGTAGTGTTCAAATATCTGTTTACTTTTTCATGTCTATTTCTTGAAGAAGTGAACATGAACTACATATTTTATGCCTTTCCTAAAATATATAAATTATTAATTATAATCTTCTTCTTCATTATTATTATTATTATTATTATTATTATTATTATTATTAGTAGTAGTAGTATGGAACACAAGTATATAAGCTACCTTTTTTATGCCTTTCCTAAAATATTAAATGAATTAATAATATACATTATTAATGATAATCTTCCTCATTATTATTATGATTAGTATTATTCTTGAACACAAGTACATAAGCTACATAGTTTGACGCATTTCTTAAAATATTATATAAATGAATAAAATAAATGAATAATAATTATCTTCCTCATTATTATTATTATTATTATTATTATTATTATGTGTTCTGTCTTCTGGTTTTGATGTTTATCTGTTTCTGTTCCTTAAACCTGACTTGTAAAGTGACCTTGGGATTTGGAAAGGCGCTATATATTATTATTATTATTATTATTATTATTATTATTGAACACAAGTACATAAGCTACATAGTTTGATGCATTTCTTAAAATATTAAATAAATTAATTATAATTATCTTCCTCATTATTATTATTATTATTATTATTATTATGCAATACTTATTTATTTGAATTTTTGAAATTCAAATATTTACAATTCTAGAGCTATTAGCATATGCAAAATAATATAATATTTTCAATGAAAAGCTTAGAATGGAAGAAAGAAAAAAAGATGTAAGCTATATTCACGGCTAACGGACCTATAATGAAACATTTTTTATTTTTGTACTTGATGCTGTTTCTTTCGGCTGCCTCAGCTGGGCTTAACATGTACAGGTGCATCTCAATAAATTAGAATGTCGTGGAAAAGTTCATTTATTTCAGTGTAATATTCTCAGCGAAATTAAAATGGAAGAAATAAAGAAAAATGTCAGCTATATTTATGGCTAACGGAACTCTAATGAAAAATTTTTTTTTTGCACTTAATGCTATTTATTTCAGCTGAATCAGCTGGGCTTAACATGTAAATAATAAACTATCTGAATGTAAAATACTCCTCTGCGATCTATGGCATATTAATCAGCATATTTAATGAGCGACTGCTAATAAAGGGGCTGGACAAAAGGAAAGTGTGCAAAAAGCTATGTGCATATGAGAGACACCTATGGGTTTATCAGCCTCTTAATTCTATTTTAACAAATAGTCCAGGAGTCTTGGACGGCGACGCGGGAACATGACTAGGATAATAAGCGTCATGGAAGCTAATCAGATTTCTAAGAGGAATTGATTGTTGGTTTTGCAGAAAGAGCAGAAGAAGGCTTGACAATAAGCTGAAATTTAAGTGTTAATTTTTATGCTAATCTTTCAGCAATCTCCACGTGATGCAATTTGCTCCCCTGCTCCGCAGATATGAAATTGTCCTGCTCACAGAGAAAATGTCAGCTCGCCAGACCCTGAAAGCTTGTAATTTATTAGGTATGTTTCTATTAGTATGTGTCACACTTGTTAGCCAGCCTCTCTCTCTCTCTCATGCACACTTGTGCACATGCAAACTCCCATACTCAGACTAGCGCTCCATGTGTGTACTGCTCAGCCTTAAAGAGCGTCTCAGCTCAGTGGCTGTAGCACCAGGGTATTAATGTATTATCATATATCGGGTGGTCCTTGCCCTGCGGACAAAAGGCTGTTTAATACAATTTAATGACATTCCCTAGCAGGAGGGAGAAAGGGGGGAAAGAAAGGCCAAACCCCAGATTAAATTAGCATTTGTGGTTCTTATAGTTCACCCATGCAAAACTTAGCAAAAGAAGCGCTATGACTCCACCCCCTACAACCCCCGTTTTTTTCCCCCCCGTTGTCTCTAGATGAAAAAGAGCGGCAGCATAGTATGGAAGTTAAAGTAAGAGTTGAGGAGGATAAACTGAAGACAACACAGGTTGCAGCTCATAACCTGTCAGCGACGCTCATGTTCCCCAAAGGCCACAGCGTGATTGATTTTCTGTGTGGCGCAGTGATGTTCCATAAGAGTCGCGAGGATCTGACAGCCGATGCGTTTAGGCATCTCTGTGGCCGTGCCGTGCCGTTTACCGACACGGGTTTCTTTGTCTTCATCTGTCTCTGCCTCACTTTGCACATCTCTATCTCTCTTCTTTCCATCCTCTCTCTCTCAAGCACACACCCTCCCCTCATTTCCTCCCTGTTTGTGTTGTTTAAGGAAGCCAGTGCCGGGCATCCAGTGTTACACTCAGCATACTCCGTGTAGAAGGTTTGGATGCAATTCACATATAGGTCAATTAAATGCGCCAACATCTGCTCTCTTCTAACCATTTGCATACAGTATTCATATGTTAATGATGTCCCTTGTTTTCTGTGGGTATGTTTGTGTGTGTGTGTTTCACTTCCTCCCCTCCTCCCTGTCTCTTTGTGGAGAAAAAAAAATAAATAAATAAATTCAGATAGAAAATTTTTGGATTCAACTGCTTCATGTGGCGACTCCAAACAGGATAGTGCCGTCCTATTTTTATTTCCTCTCCCTCTCTCACTCGCTGAAAGCAGAAACTCCTTTACTGCGAGCGGCGGGCTTGTTCAGCTGCCATTGGCCCTGATTTGAACAAGAATCCTTCCACTGTAGCTGCAAAGGAAGTCCTTGCCTTTGGAAAGCAGCTTAACGCCTTATAAATCAGTGATGAGGCAGATGGACCAGCGATAATCTATTTAGAATGCCTCACAGCAAATATTGCCGTACAGATGATTAGAGATTGAGCTATTTTAACTCGGCCTTCTCCGCCCTCTCAGCAAATCTTCTGCTTCTGTGAATGATTTAAATTGGAGAGTTTCTTCTTTTCCCCCTGCTTTTCCTCCCTAAATATATCTGTGTTTTCGAAGCGCTCGCACGGGGGAAATAAAGTGGTGAAGTGTACGTGTTTTACGCTGCCATTTTCTTGGCAGGCTTCAATGGCGTGCCATGGAACAAAGAGAGCAGGGAGATGGGCCCGAGCCAACAGGCTAATGACAAAACGCACACTTCTTAACCCAATATTAGTAGGAGGACGCGGCAGTATGTGAGGGCTGAAGCCGCACCGGAGGCCCCCCGTTTTGCTTTGGTGGTCGATAGGTCCCGATTTAGCACGAGGCCACAGAAGACGGGCTGGACGATGAATGGATAGAGAGAGAGAGAGAAGGAGGGAGGGCAGAGTGCGAAAATGAAGTGGAGGTTGTCAGATGTGGCAGCTGCTTGGAATCCTGATAAATATAAGTCCTTATTGATCGGCTGAAAATGAAAGATCCCAGAGTGGCGTGCAGTATTTAGCTTCTTGTCTGCCGAGCGCGTCAGCGGTGGCCTTGCCTCGCTGGGATAGATTTTCAGCGGCGCTCTGAGACACGGCTTTGATTTCATCTTTAACCTTTTTCGGCTGCTTTTCCTTGACCTCTGCGCCACTGCTGTGATTCAGTGAATTTGTTACATTTGGCCTGACATCCTCTCTCCCTCTCTCTCTTTCTTTCTTGCTGACAGAGTAAAGACTCATCGCCGCTGTCATCGCTTGTTGCCGTACAGACTCAGTGGCGGGGTGAGTCACGGTCTCTTCAACCTGACGGGCCCCGGACCAGTATGCAGGTAGAGTGATCAGGTAAGCGAACATTCACCTCACGGCCCTTCCTTCGGTACTTGTAACGCGACACCGCTCCTGGACCAGATATGGGACGTAGGTTTAGCTCGCTGATCCCAGATCTGCATGCTTGAGCGGTCCTTAGATAAGACGTGAAGCATGCTCACTTACCCGCTGGTCTCAAATCATCAGTGTCAGGATGAGATTAACTGATCCCAGAGTCTGATCCCTAACAGACAGTCCATTTGAAGTGGCACGTTTTGTGCTGAACGGTTGTAATCTTCTCCTGCGATGTGTCTTTAAGCCGAACACCTAAATGACATATAAAAGCCCAATTTAGAGCAATTGCTACACCAATTTGCTCTTCTATCTGGTTCAAGCCTTTTCAGTGACATGTTTCATATGTGGCCACCACAATTTTATAATTGAACATAATAACACCTCAATACATATAAAATATATATGATAGGTAGAGAAGACTAGAACTAGTAACTAAGATTTTGAGATAAAAGGATGATTACATCTGTGTCTTCTCTAGCAGTAGTTTGTATGTCAGTTGTATGTCAGTTTCATCAAATCTAATTATTTGGTAACAATTTACAATAAGGTTCATTAGTTTAACATTAGGTAACTACTTTAGTTAACATGAACAAAGCATGAACAATACTTCTACATCATTTATTAATCTTAGTTAATGTTAATTTCAACATTTACTAATGCATTATTAAAATCAAAAGTTGTGCTTGTTAACATTAGTTAATGCACTGTGAATTAACACGAACTAACAATGAATGACTGTATTTTCATTAACTAACATTAACAAAGATGAATAAATACTGTAATGTATTGTTCATTGTTTGTTCATGTTAGTTAATACATATTAACTAATTAACTAATGTTAACTAATGGAACCTTATTGTATAGTGTTACCAATTATTTTTTATACATTTTATTATCCAAATGTATTACAAAATTACAGTAACAATATGACATAGGGCCTACACTACTTTAAAGGGGTCAAATGATGTTGCTAAAAAGAACATTATTTTGTGTATTTGGTGTAATGAAATGTGTTTATGCGGTTTAAAGTTAAAAAAACACATTATTTTCCACATACTGTACATTATTGTTTCTCCTCTATGCCCTGCCTTTCTGAAACTCGTCGATTTTTACAAAAACACACAGCGTCTCGACATGGCGACAGCAACAATACTACAGCGAGAATAAAAGTTACGCCTTCTTTCTTTGCGTGAACATTTGGACGGCGTTATGCAAATCTTCCCACATCGTGACATAGACATGTGGGGGCGTGTTAGAACGAGCCGTTTTAGGTAGGCGTGGTTGACTCTTAACTTTTTTAAAGAATATCTCTTTGGATTTGAGACTTTAGTCTTTGCAACTTTACAGATCTTCTTTATGCACCAAGAGCTTGTAACACTTCGAAGAGAAAGGAAAAATTGAAATCGCATCATATGACCCCTTTAAAAAAAATAATATTAGTTATTTTATTCAGGACCCATTCAATTTGATCAGAAGTGACAGTGAAGAAGACATTTGCAAAATATTTCACATAAATGCATTTAAATGAACTTTCTATTCATCAAAGAATCCTGAACAAGTGTATTACAGTTTCCACAAATATTAAGCAGCACAAGAGCACCATATTAGAATGATTTCTGAAGGATCACGTGACACTGAAGACTGGAGTATTTACTGCTGAAAATTCAGCTTTGCCATCACAGGAATAAATTACATTTCAAAATGTTTTAAAATAGAAAACAGTTATTTTTAAATTGTAATAATATTTCACTATACTACTGTTTTTACTGTATTTTTTTTTATATTTTTTTTTAAATAAGAGACTTCTTTCAAAAACATAAACAATCATCTAAAAGTTTTGAATGGTAGTGTATATTCAGACCAGAGTAAGCTATGACGTGACAGTAGATTTTAACTGAACGATTGATGTGTTCTCATATATGTCAGGACAGGGTTTTTAATGTTTTAAATTGTATGAATCTTTTCAGTTTGCTATTTAAAATATTTGTAATCCAGAATAATTGTTGGATATTTTTATGTTACCTTGTACATATTTTTTTATATTTCATGGATTAAATTTTCACATTGTTTTACTGTTTAACTTTGCTTAATTAATTGCATATTTTATTGTGACAGCTTACCAATGACAAGCCGATGACAAGCCTGGGTTTTAAGGAAAACTGAATACATAAACTGACTTTAAATAATAAAACCAGCCTGAGAAATAATCACTGGGCTAAAAAGCGTGATTAAAATCTTCATGCATTTTATTGCACTTTGCATATTTGGATAAATAAAAAATAAAAAAATTACAAGTGTGATCTTTAAATCGAAATAAAGAATGAAAAGACGCAGTAATGATTTATGTTTTTTTTTTTTACATTTTTTTAAGGGGAATATAAGAGGTAAAAGCAGCCTATGAGTAAAAAGTCTCCTCCTCCTCCTCCTGAACAATGCTCCAGCACACTTTTAGATAGATTATAAATCCCCCTATGAGAGAGCCTGCAACAGCTGTTGGCAGACATACTAGATATGAGAATAGCAGCATAGGATGAAGGAGCATTAAAAATTTATATGCTATTTAGCCTAGGTGTATTTTAGGTATTTGACATTTTCATGTCCGGGACAGTCTAAATTTATTCATAGTACAGAAAAAAATAAAAAAATAAAATTAGAAAAAAAGATTGTGAAGGGGTGGTAGGAGAGCTGTAAGCGGAGGCCGCGTTTTTTTTTTTTTTTATGGTCACCCTTTCATTCAGTAATGATAGGTGTTAAGACATCGTCTATGGAGGAGACTGGAGCCCATTATGGGCACGGTAATAATTAGCACATGGCACAAAGGGAACCATTTGCCTCTTAAGCCTCTGCTTAATGTTTTTTTGTTGTATTGTTTTGCTATTTTTATTTCTATTTATTTTGTTTTCTGGTATTTTTTCCTTCTCTTTGTGTTTTGTTGAATGGTTAAAGGAACATTTTGTGTGTGTGTGGATGAGACAGTGAGAGTGGAAATCCCAGCTTCAGTAGTGATTAATTACTAATACTCCCTCAGAACATCTCTCTATCCCTGACTATCTAATCACACTGAAATCTAAGACATGTCCTGAGAGGAGAAGAGACGATAGGACTACATGGACCATCTCTCTCTCTCTTCATTGTAACTTTATCAATCTCACAATCTTGCTTCTTTTTCCTTAAAGGAACAGTCACCCAAAATGAACAACTTACCCTCGTGTTTTTTTTTAAACACATATGACTCTCTTTCTTCTGTAGAGCACAAAGGGAGTTATTTATAGCAAAATGTCCTAGCTACTCTGTTCCTTACAGTGACAACAACTGTCAATAAAGATTTTCAGTGAATAATCTGTTCTTCACTGAAAGCTATTTTATAGAATGAAGCCTTTGGGTTCTGGAAGTTAAAATCCCATTCATTTTCTCCATAGGGGAATTTGTTTTTGACGATAACCTTTAAAGACAGACCTATTGTGAGCTACAAGGTTGTTAATCAATAGTATATGATTTTTGAAGCCATCAACTTTATTTTAACTTTTTATTTGTATTTTTTATAAATAACCATTTTATTAGTGGAATTCCTGGTGAAAAACAACATAATCCATGATTATGCCAAAAAAAAAGAAAAAAAAAAGAAATCCACCAATCACAAAATCGTAAAAAGCTAATTCCGCCCACTCCCATGAAGCACTGTGAATGACTTAACTTAGTGATAACTGTTGCTCTCTATAGCTTCAGAAGACTTGATGTAGAACACATTAGCCATAAGGACCACATTTATGGAGCATGAATTATACATTTTAATTAGGCATTTTTGCTCCTTTTTGGAGCTTGACAGTTCCAGTCACCATCTGCTTTCACTGTATGGAAAAGAGCAGCTCAGACATTCTTCTACATTCCCTCTTTTGCGTTCCACAGAGCATGTTTGAGTAAAGGATGTATGATTGTATTTTTAGGTGAACTATCACTCTAACCACCCCACTTTTGTTCTCTCATTCTCTCCAACCTTCTCTAACATTTTTCCTCTCTTCTGCTAATTCGCTATCAGTCCATATGTGTCTCGCCTGGATTTTTGCAACATGCTCCACTCCCCCTCACTTCTCCCTCTCTCTTTCTCTCAGGTGTTATATATATATACATACACTGTTACTCCCTGAGGTAATATTTAGCAATAACATGTTTAACACCACAACCCTCCAGTCACAGATCCTCACATCATGCTTAAAAAACAGAGACGGGTGACATGTTTTTGAATCTGCTGCTTTTCTATCTCTGAAGAAAACATGGCTTTTATTTAACAGTTATAGTTATTACAGGATCACAAAAAAACAACAAAAAAAAAAAAAATCTAAAGGCAGGGATTAAAGTTATGTGTTTTAGTCCAGTGATGAAATCAGTGTTTAACCGAAACACAAAATGGATCTCTCTCCCACTTTCTCCAGGCTTCTTTTTTGGCAGCGGCTCGCTCTTTTCCTGCTCTTTCTTCCTTCGCTCTCTCTCTCTCTCTCTCTCTGTGGTTTTTCTGTTCGTTTGAGACAATGGGGTGAAGGTGGTTTAAATGCCATGTGGGGCGGCATGATGGTGGCATAGTGGAGATTGTTTTCTGTTGGAGTCCATCTGGGCGCCTGTACCGGAGGACTCTATAAAAGCTGGTGGATTGGATGGAGTCATGGCCACGCTTTCCATTTATTAATGTGAAAGAGAGTGGCTTCAGGCTCATAGATTTGTAGAGGTTTCACTCAAGTCGTTCTCAGCTGATATCCATTAAAGACACGTAGATGTGCATTATTTATATTTATTTATATTTTGACGGCACGGGGCCACTACTAGATTGCTGAGAGAATGGATGGATGCATTGACAGCTAGATGGATTGCATTTTGTGAGAAATCCATTCAGTTATTTGATTGAAGTACAGCCCAACTTTGACTGAAAATAAACAATTTTTTTTTAAGTCAGTTCAGTGATGGTCTCTTACATGTTGTGTTAACCCTCATGTTGTGGTCATATTTTCTTTAAGTGTAAAGATGGAGGTATATATGAGGAAGGCATGTTATATATATCATTAGTATTATTAGTATTATATATATATATATATTTGTTGTTGATGTTGTTGTTTTTTCAGAAGAGAACCAAACATCTTTTCACAAATCAAAACTTTTGGATTCCTGTTTTACCTAAAAGTGCAAGACTTCAGGTTCAGCCACCTCAACCCCATCCTAAAGTGATAATACCACTATTTAAATCATAATAATCCTTATCCTGAGGGTCTATGACTGTGGGATACATTCATTAGCCTGCTTGTAGCCTTCTCTGTCCTGCAGTGGCACTGCTGATAAATACTTTATTAATAACTTTCTAAATAATGTAAAGTGTATTGTTGTCTCCGAGGTTGTATTAATAAACATGAAGGAATTTATTTGTCTTTAACAAAGCATGATTAATGCACATTAGCGTGTGGATACCGAATTCTCGCAGTCTACTCTTCCCCGCCCAATGAAAAAAAGAAAGAAAAAAAAAACACACACACACACACCCATCAGCATTAAATATTTATGGCATAATATTAATGGTTTTGTAAAGAAAATAACAAGTTATTAATCCTCTGATTAACAACTGATTAACCTTTTTATTAAACACGTGATCCGTGCTTCGTGGATTCAGGATGTGTTGCTCGAGTGTGCTGCGGAATAATTATTTTTGTCTTTTTTAATTGCAAAAATTGCACGGATGAACTGTTTTTCTGCCCTTTTTTCTTTTCAAACATGCACAGATAGAGATGGATACGGCATTGCCGACACAATATTTTGTCGATGTTAAGCATCCTACAAAAAAAAACATGGACTAACTATAGCAGGACATATCTGTGGACAATGAGGTTTAATTCTCGCATCCGTTTACTCCTGTGTTATTGGCATGTGTGGAAAAATAGGGAGAATGCACGCACTGCTAAAGGACAAGCGGCTCTCTGCTCATCTCACTGCCATTGTGGGTATTTTTAGGTCTCGCCTGAGTCAGTTCAAGCACAATTATGCTTATGTTTCACACACGCCAAGTGTGACTTCATCTTACGGGGTGGAAATGGGAGAAAAAAGAAAGCTGCCTGGGCAGTTTTGCAAATAAAATAAAACGATATAATTTATAGCATTTCACATTGTCACGATTTCCTGCTGCTTTTCAGCTTCCTGATACACAGACAGACAGAGAGACATGTAAAGTTATGAAGGACGGCCTGCAGGTCCCTCCTCCCTTGACTCCTTGGGAACGCAACACCCTCCTCAGGTGATTAATACAAACGTGGGGCCTGGGCTGTTTTACAAACATCAAAAAATCTAATTCATAATACGTTTTATACCCTGACCCCTGCCATCTATTGTGTCGCTATTCTTTAGCTTGCAGAATCCATCAAAGGCCATAGTGTTGTGAAAACCGACCACAATAGCAGTCTTTGTGTGGAGATGTGTGTGGGGATAAGGGTGTTGGGACACTTGTTGTTTTTTATGCTTGGTCTTATGATGGATTGGTGCTTGTTCGGTAGGGTGTCTTTGTTAACTTTCTCTCACACTCTCTTTTTTAATGTTTTTTTTCTCTCAAATGGACTGATCTTACCTTCATTGACTTTCCTTCACCCCCTCGCTCAGTTTAAGGTCTCACTTTTTCTCTTTCTGTCCTGCTGTTGAGTGTTCCTTCCTTCCTCTTAACCTTTTTTTTTCTTCTGCAGAGTCCTTCATCTTTGCTTTCTTTTATCATGTAGTCTTTCCTTCTCTCTCTCACTTTCAATATTCAAGCAAGAAAACTGGCCACCCTGGGAATCCTGGCAGTCAGTCACACGCCCCTCCAAAAACAATTATCTTTGAACTTGCTTTTAGTGCTGTTTGTCCTAATTACAGATCATTTTCCCTGTCACATTTCTACTTTTATTGCAGTTTTGCCCTGAATGTTGATCCTATTGAGGTTCAACCTTATTTTACTCGCTGGAACACCCCTAAGACCTGGATTCATCTAATATTCCCCTGTGCCTTTTGCTCTCTCTTTTCAAATTTGATTTTTTTTCTTCTTCTTTTCTTCCATTTCTTTCTTTTTAATGTATAATTTTTTGTAGCATTATCTTATTGAATTAGACTGAGATCCCAAAATACATATGTATGGCCTGTTTTATTTCTGGTGTTAAAATTTAGGTTGTGCTGTGTGTGTGTGTGTGTGTGTGTGTGTGTGTGTGTTTGAGGTACGAGCAGCCGTAAGGCATGCTAACTTCAGTCCCACTGGGAAACCCTGTGTGTATTTTTAGTTCTCTGCTACAGAGGTGGACTTCGTTGTAATTAAAACTAAGTAAAGGTGGTTAATTCCTTCCTTTGCCTGGCTGTTTCAAATATCAAATCTACTCTGTTTTAAAGGTATTGCACATACGCGCACACGCATGCTTAGCATAACACACTCACACAGACATGCACACGAGCTCGTAAGCCTCTTACAGATCCGATTCCACATGCAGACACAACATGCGCTGGAGTTGCAAGGAGAGGTTTAGACATGGTGCAGGGCCTTTTTCAATTAGAAGCGTATCGTGCGCAGCCCGATAGGATCGTAATGTAGTGGGTCCGGGTCACTGGTAGGATGTGGGATTAGAACCACATAGTGGTTCTGGCAGTGCAGAAAAACTGAAAACATCACAGCAGGCAGACACATCTCCCTCCTATCTGCAAGTCACACACTAGAGACATAATAGAGATGTCTTAGTGAGCTTCACAGAGTGCCTGCATCTCTCTCTCTCTGTACTGTTAGGGTCAGAGTACTGTATAAGTGTATGGGGCTGAGAATACATACATTCATTTTAAAGGGATAGTTCACTCAAAAATAAAGATTCTGTCATTGTTTACTCACTCTCATGTTGTTCCAACCTATATGACTATATTTCTTCTGTGGAATATGAAAGAAAATATAATTTTTTAAAAGATTATTTGTTTATTCATTTAGTGAAAATGTTTACTATCACTCTTTAAAATATCATCTTTTGTGTTCCACAGAAGAAAGTATTACAGGTTTGGAACAACATGAAGGTGAGCAAATAATGACATCATTTTCCTTTTTTGTCTGAACGAACAAAAATATAACTTAATGTTATTTATAAAAATTAAGAGTTGTGGCCTAGTGACTCGCACATGTGCGCTAACATTGAGCGTTCCTATTGAGGTCTTTTCCATCAAGTCATTCCCCAGGGTCTTGTATGGCAGTGGTTCTCAACTGATTTAGGACTATATCAAGTGGATGTCAAGTACTTTAGATATGAAGTGGTGAAGTTCTTTCTTTCTTTCTTTCTTTCTTTCTGAGGATAAGGGCATGTCAAGCAGACTATTTGTGTTGACATGAGCCTAATTTGTTAGGGTCTACCCAATGACAGATGCATTTTCACCAAAATACTGTAGAGTTTGATTGGATGCGTGACGTAAGTATGCACAATTATATAATTATTTTATTCTTTTTTATTTATACTTATCATTATATTATCAAAACATACATTTCACCCCACCCAGTTTGGTCATGACCCAGCAGTTCAGATGCACTGCTGTACACCATCTCTCCCCTGATAATCTCAAACCTGTATGTCATAATCCAGCCGCTGACACTCAAAAGAAAAATGTTTACTATCACTCTTTAAAATATCATCTTTTGTGTTCCACAGAAGAAATTATTACAGGTTTGGAACAACATGAAGGTGAGCAAATAATGACATCATTTTCCTTTTTTGTCTGAACTTTGAAAAATATAACTTAATGTTATTTATAAAAATTAAGAGTTGTGGCCTAGTGACTCGCACATGTGCGCTAACATTGAGCTCATATGGAAAATTTGAGAGTTTAAATCTGGCTCACAGAACTTTCTGTTCTCTCTCCACTATTCTGTGCATAAAAACAGAAAAAAATACCATAAATAAAAAAAAACTCCCACCTTTTTTATTTTATT